GATAGTAAGCTTATTCCTTCTTAGATTCCTTCTTCTCATTCATCCTCCTCAGCATGCATTCCTTGGCAAAGTGGTTTTTGCCATGACAGTAATTGCAATCGTAGCCTGAATCACCAGGAACCTTTTTCTCCTTTTTCTCTTCCTCAGTTTGAGAGTTCCTGAAACCCTCATCTCTAGCCTTTTCGGAACTGGAATTTCCACCCTGCCTATGTTTATTCTGAAAACGAGAGAAATTCTTCTTGTAGATATTCGTAGGGTTGGAAACTAAGAGTGCCTTGTCTTCAGTGGAGATCTCACTGTCCGACAAATCATATTCTGAATCTTCTTCAGTCACCTTCTTTCCCTTTGCGACTAATGCTAGGGATCATATTCAAGAAAAAATCTTCACCTCCTTCGTAACTTCATCTTCATGGGATATCAGAATTCCCACAAGCGTAGCCAAAGAATAACTCTTGAATTGTTCATGTGCCTTCACAGTGGACACAATAGCTTTCCATTCTGACATAAGACCATTCATAAACGTCACTTTCTGTTCAATGACACGTCACTCAAGATTATATTTGAGCATTCTACTCAGCAAGTGGTTGAAGAGATTGAACGTTTGATCAAGCTTCTCACCAGGTTTCTGAATAAACGAACCAAACTCAAACATAATAGTTGTTTGTAAAGAGTGTTCTAGATCTACATCTCCAGAATACAACTCTTTCAATCTATCCCATATTTCCTTGGCAGTAGTACATGCACTCACGAGACGAAAGGTATCTGCTGGAAGAGCAAAGCGTATAATTCTCATTGCCTTGATGTTGCTCATCAGCTTTTGTTTTTCATCTAGAGGAATAATAGCATGTTCAACAAGAAGAGCGTTGTACTTAGCCTGAGTCTTGATAACCTTCCTGATTGTTGTGTACGAATACATCTCTTGTGTTATCGCATGCCATATTGTTGAACCATGTTCTTCAATACCTAGAACATAGTATTCAAAGTGTAACGCCCATACTTCATAATCCTGAGGGAAGAGGATTGGAATCCTATTTGTGGATCCAATACTACTAGAGATCTTGAACGATAAAGTATGAGGATCTTCGTTCTGCATGATGTCAAAGATTCACAAAAACACGGATATAGAATCAAATGTGTAAAATGAAACTTCGAGTTTTATGGTATAAATCAAAGATTTAGATCTGACATCTACAATCGATACAAATGATGGAGACGACAAGAACAGATCCAATAATAACACAAAAACCCTAATCGAACTCGACAGAAGAGTAGTGACTGAGTTACACTATCTCCTTCTCTGATTCCAATTGTTGAAAAAATAACTTTCTAAGATCGATAGATTCTATAAACGATGTGAATTAAATAACCAGAACAATGAAGATCAAATTAGTGCTGAATGCTCCGATTATAAAAGCTCTTAGAAGAGTTCAACGTGAACTTCTCTGTGAGAACTTGGTAGGGCAACTAAACTATTAACCCTAAAACATAAACCTGTGAATGGACAGGCCCAAACCAGAAAATAAGACTATTCTATTATAAACATTTGACACAATACATATAAAACCCAACAATTACTGGAAACAAACACTTAAAATCGACGTTCACAATGGAAATCATAATAAAGGACAAAGTAAACAAGGTTTAGAAGTAGTGCTGCCTTAAATCTCTTGAAGAACTAAAGTTCAATCGTAATCAGATCTCCTTCTGTCTTCCAACACGTCTCTGGCCTCCAAAATTCGAAAATAACTTGAAGCATAAGGTAGGGTTGGGAGATTAGACGAATATTTATAGTCTCTTAAATCTGATCCTCATGCCGTGGCCAAAGCCTCCATGGCGTGGCGGGCTTTTTCCACGCGTGGTCCTCAAGTCTGTCAGATGATCGTGAAATTTCTTCTCCCCACAGCATGGTCAAAGCCTCCACACCGTGGGCTTTAGTCTCCTTAAGCAATTTTCTCTTCAAATGACTAGGTTCACTTTTTCCCACTTCCATCCCCACATTTTTATTTCTTTTAATCCCGAGCATGTTTTCGCTCCTACAAAATAGAATTTAAACATATTAAGTACCTTTTGTCCTAAAATAAACACATTTGTAGCTAAAAATATAAGATAATGCATGAAATATATGACTAATTATGCACATATATGGGCTAATACTAGAAACCATAAATGCAACAATCTTATAATGCTCATTATACTTTATACTACAGGATAGATGTTGATGGTAAGGTTTGATCAAATGGTGGTAAAGAAAGAGATTGTCCATAAATCTACTTGTTCTCATACCTAAGGTGTAACACATTTTCTCAGATGTGTTTTATTGGTAATTCTAAGGAAACTGAGTATGAGGTTTTTGTGAAAACCCTAGTGCATGACACATTTGTTGGAGGAACACGACACTTTCCATGTCATTGGTCGCGACGTGACCAAGTGAGTGTCGCGATGCGTGGCGCAATCAGCCAAAACCCAAATCTCGGGCCTTGAGCCTTATTTAAAGATAGTAAATCCTAAGGTTTCCCTATTTGTTCAACCTCTATCCCCATAAACCAAAAACTTCAAAACCCTAGCCTCCTTACCTCCATTGTTGGTGTTTTGGTGCCTTGGTGTGAAGCTTTAAGGGGAAGTAAGACATTTTGGTGACAAGAGAAGCAACATCCAGAGATTTCCTATCTTTTAGACACTTTTCTTGTGCTCTGTAACTTATCAAGTTCTTGCACTTGTGGTTTCTGATTGCTACATCTAGGATTTTGAGCATTGTTGGTCCCTTTTTCATTGATTTCTAGGGAGTTTAGATAACTCCAGCTCCAAACATGGTTTTGGTTGACATTCTGAACCCATTATGGTGTATTGAGTGCATGTTTAACTTTTTATTTGGTCTATGCATGAAGTTGTTATCATTTAAGACTCATTTTAGATCTAGATTTGGTATTGTACTTATAAAAGGCATGGATATGGATAAAGTTGAAAACTTTTTCCATTAAGAGCTTCATTTAATGGGTTTTTTAAAATATAAGAATTTGTGTATATATATTAAGAAATTAATAAGATAAAATGAATCTGCCGAGAAAGTGTGATGCGACCAAGGATGGGTCGCAATGTGAAGCTTAAAAGATAATCACGAGTATTTTGTCTCCTAGTGATCGCGACACGACCAGGAGCTGGGTCACGGCACGTGTCGCCAGTTAACCATTGGCTATTGACTTTGACCAGTTGATTGTTGATCGTTAACTTTTTGACCAACTTGAATTTTGGTCAAACTTTGATAAATCTGAGTATTTGATTGAGGATTCGTCTCGGTTTGGCATTAGGTGCTTTTTGCTAACTATTTCGTTTGTAGAGATTTGTTGTTAAGGTTCTATGTGCTAGACTTATGTGATTTTTCTCACTATAGTATGTGTGACATTATATGACTAATGTTTGGTACGTTGTTTGTGTAGTGATAGTATACGAGCATGTGATAGACTGAAATTTTTTGTGATAAGATATCTAATAGGTTTATTTTTTAGGTATATTTTAATATTAATAGGGGTTGTACGTAGTTAAAATCATATAGCCTTAGAACTCTTGGTTTGGCCTTATAGTGTGGTCCTTGTTTGGTATATTGTTTTAGGTAAGATCATTTGTTTGACTGACAATCTTATTTGCTACTACGTATAACTATGCATTCATAAGGTGTTCGTCGTTATTAGTAGTGACTTTAGTATGGCTTATATGAATAGGTCGGTTAGTCTTTATTTGTTGATTGGTTAGTCATATGACTCAATCTTATGATGTATGCTATGTTGACAGAACAGTATGAGACTGTGAGTCTGACGGATCGACATAAGGCCATGAGTCTTCAGGGAAACAGTGTGAGATTGTGAGTTTGGCGAATCAGTGTTATCAACTTCATCTATATACACAACAATGAGTTAGATGGGTAGGTCGTTATCAACATCATCTCTATACAACTCTTACTTCCTTATGAAACTTTTGGACAATAAAAGTTTGTCCAGGACATGTTTAGTCTTTTCATAGCCATGTGTTTAGGTCTAACTAGTCTCTTATTTAAACTATCAAATTTAGAACATGTGAACTTTTTCATAGGTATGACCAAGACAAAAGTTTTACCTTGAGGTGGAAAGATGTTAGATCCGAACATGTTCAAAATTGTACGTAAAAGTTATTCCAACTATTAGATAAAATTATTTATATTTAGTATGTTTATTTTATATAATCGTTATATAATAAAATTAGTGTTATAAATAAAGTGCATGTAGAGAAAATAACAATATCTATGTGAACACTGTAATAAGCATGAAAATGTGCGAACGGAGAGAAGTAAAGCGGCGACACGACTCATCGGCCAAATCTTCTCCGATCAACACCGATGACCCAAATCTCACATCTTTTTATGTTTCTAATCTCTCTGGTGATTCCAATAGGAAGGAGTTGCGGGGGCTCTGTTCTAAGTTAGGTTCTCTAGCCGACATCTTCATCGCTGGAAGGAGGGACGTTTTGGGCTCTTTCTTTGCTTTCATTCGTTCGCAAATGTCGTGGACTTTGATTCAATTGAAAGATGTTTGAACAATGTGGTTTGTCGGGAAAGGAAGTTGGTAGCCAATAATTCTAAGCACCTGCATTCATCATTCAAGGTTTCTAGGCTGAAGAAGATCCAAGTTGTTGCTAGACCGGTTAATTTAGCACCACATGATTCCAGATCTTTTTCAGACGTTTTGAAAGGGAGGGTTGGAATGACTTCGACTTCTCCCCTTCCAGCTCTGGTGATTAACCTTTCCAGTATCAATGAAATTGAGGATTGGGCTGACAAAAGCGTTAAGGTGAGTGAAGCGAAGGATTTTGACATACTTTGCAACTTCCCATCTTTGTTTATGTTGGAAGGTTTCGATATGTTGGAATGTAAGTACTTGGAAGGCATGAAAGTTTCTGTTAAGTTCAAGTCTTGTAGGGCAAAAGATATTTTTAAGGCAAATAAAAGCATTTGGTAAAAGTGGTTCTCGAGGATGGAGGTTATGGGGATGAAGGCCATCAGATATGAAAGGGTCATGTGGATTAAGATCACTGGAGTCCCAATTCTTGCATGGGATGAGTCCAATTTTTCTTCCATTGCTGGTTTTTTTGGAAAAGTTCTGGTGAATACTTTCTCCTTTTGGAATAACAACGATATTTCCATGGTGAAGGTGTGCATCCTCTCAGCATTTCAGGAAAAAATCAACGATGAACTGGTTGTAAATCTCGACGGGGTTGTCTATAGGGTAGGGGTGTTTGAAATTGAAGATGAATGGACCCCCTTCAAACCGTTCTGGATGGCAGATGTTTCTAAATAAGATAATGATAATGAAGACGGCGACGACAATGGTGTCTCTGACACCTTAATGGATGAAGACCTTGAAGAAGGGGAAATTGGTAACGTTGGCGATAATGGTTGTCCAGAAGCCAAGGGAATGGAAGGATTTGATGCGTCAACCGCTCCAAGAGAAGTTGATAAGTCTCCTAAAATTTTGGAAAATTGCAATGATTTTATTGCAGTTGTAGATATTCCCAAGGAGAATTGTAATGCCCAGTCGGACCCTGTGGGTTCGGGTTATATCTCTCCTATTGGGCCTTCCAAATCCGGGTCTGATTCTAATTTTGTCCATCTGGGCCTAGCAGCAGTCCTGAATTTCGAACCAGATGAAGGTCGTTCAAATCAAATGAATAAAGGTGTCGGTATTGTGCCCCTTCATGTCGACCTCAACGAGTGCGCTATGGAATCATAGAACACAAATCGCCGAAGTGAAAAAGGAACTTCCCCTTCTCAGAGTTGCGCTTCTTCATCCTCTGAATTAGGTCGAACTATCAACATTGGTAAACAATTAGGATTTTGGAATTTGGAAGGGAATGCATCCCTTAAGGATTCTTTGATTGGTAGTGGTGGTGTAAAAGTAGGTGAGCCACGAATATTATCTCTTTAAATATCAGGGGAATGGGTGATTCTAACAAACTGGAGTGGCTCAAAAGTCTTAAAAAGGAACACAATTTCTTATTTTGTGGGCTACAGGAGACCCGTCTTTCTGTTATCCCTCAATATTTTTATGATTGGTGGGACAATATTGATTTTGGCATCAACTTTATTGATTCAGTGGGCAGATCGGGAGGCCTTATTTGTTTGTGGGATAAGTCTTTTTTTTCAGCTTATCACCATTATTAAATCCAGGTTTTTCATGGTGGTAGTTGGGTATTGGCGTGGTGTTGTAGGAGAGACAATCATTGTGAATGTTTATGCTCCTCAAGTTTCTATTGAAAAGGCAATTCTTTGGGACAGTATTGAAAACTTGTTGAATTCCAGGCCTGGTATTCGCCTCATCTTCGGCGATTTCAACGCTTGAGGCGTCCTGATGAAAGGATAAATTCTACTTTATGCCCTCTTATTATGGCGGGCTTCAATAGTTTTATTGTTAATTCAGGGCTTATTGATTTTAAGATGGGAGGGAAGAGATTAACATTTTTCTCTGAGGTCATATGCAAGTTGAGTAAATTAGATCGGTTCCTTGTGTGTTCTAAGTTTATGGTAGCCTTCCTTTCTGCCTCTGTCTTAGTCCTTCCTAGAGAATACTCTGACCATTCTACGATCCTTCTTCGTACTTGTTGCATGTATTTTGGTCCTCCCCCATTTAGATTTTTTAAATCATGGATTCCGAGAGATGTTTTCGATGGGATTGTAATTCAAGCGATGTCCTCGTTCTCTGGTGGGGGGAGTCCCGACAGATTCTTGGATGATAAATTTAAATTTGTCAAAGATGCAATAAAATTATGGAGGTGGATTGAATTCAAGAAAGAAAATAGGATGCTCCTTGACCTTAAGGCCAAAGTTATCGATCTTGAGCTGTAGGCCGAGAACAGAACCCTTTCTAATGTCGAGCTCTCAGAACGGAGGACATATAAGCAACGCATTGCCGACATGGAGCGCCTATTGAAACTTGATCTCATCCAGAAATCAAAGAATAAATGGGTTCAAGATGGCGATGAAAACTCTGCTTTTTTTCATGCCTCAATCAAGATTAAGAATAGGAGAAGAAATTTAACCAGTCTCATGGTGAATGGAATGTGGATTTCAGATGTTAACTTCATACAAAATTAGGTGGTTAGGTTTCATAGCGATAAATTCCAAGAAACAAGACATGAGAGTCTTGTTATCATTAACGATAATTTTAAACGGCTCTTCGAGGTTGACAAGGGTTTTTTGGAAGCTCCGTTTGAGTTAAATGAGATCAAGGATGCCATTTGGAATTGTGGAGGGGAAAAAGCGTCGGGCCCAGATGGTTTTACATTCAAATTCATCAAACAGTCCTGACACCTGTTGTAAGATGATATCATGCGCTTTGTGAAGAACTTCAAAGCTTATGGTTGTCTTTTGCGAGGGTGTAACTCTTCCTTCATCACTCTTTTGCCCAAAGTGAAGGATCTGCTCTCCCTTGGCGAATTCAGGCCTATCAGTCTTATAGGGAGCATGTATAAAATTATGGCAAAGATACTTGCTGCTAGGATCAAAAGGGTTATCGAGTCCGTGATTGATGAGGTGTAGACGACTTTCATTGTTGGAGTATTTTAGACGGGCCAACGTGTTGGATTAGGTGTCTAAGCCTATAACTATAATTGGTATATACTTGAATTGATAGTAGCAAATTCCTTTTGGGTTGCCCTCAAAACTAACAATTGGACAAGATGTCTTTTGGAGAGAGAGATTGAATTTATTATTTCATTAATAAATTGAAATAAATGATTTATTAATGTATTATGAAAATAATATATTAATTAGAAATCATATTATTTAATTAATAGTTATGTAACACTCTAAATTTTCAAATAAATTTTTCGCTTTTAATTCCACACAAAACACAGTTTAACATCTCTCATACTCAATTTATAAATGCTTCAAAACACAATCATAAAAACTATTTGTCACATATCCTAGAACCCTCAAAACATAAATCAACGAGCTGGTGTGTACAATCATGACGGTGCCTTCCCACGATCCTGAGATGTACTTGAAACACATTCCACACAACACTGTAAGCACAAAGCTTAGTGAGTTCCCCAAAGTACCACTCACAAATAATTAGCCTCTCATGGCTATATCTCGATAAGGACCCTCCGGTCATGTGTCTCAATGAAGACCCTCTGGTCTCACGGCTCGGGTTGGACCCTCCAGTCATGTATCTTAGTGAAGACCCTCAGGTCTCACGACTCGGTTTGGACCCTCTGGTCCTATCTCAATAAAAGCACAGAATAATATACAACATAAATCACAAAGACAAAATTCATAATATCACATATCTCAGTAATAGCACATAAGACCCTCTGGTCAATAACACAAATAAGACCTTCCGGTCACACAGTGAATACCACTCAGGTAAGTATAGTGAGAAGACTCACCTCGTAAGTAAAGCAAGTATGTCTCGTACTCAAACTATCGGTCTAGTCTCTGCCTACATATATCACAATCACCTCTAATTAACAATTTATATTAACAAATTCAAAGATGTTAAGCTAACTCCTCTACTAAATCTCAGAAAGGGTGAAAGACCATTTTACTCCTCCATGGTCTACAAAGTCCACAACTTGACCAAACCCTAAAAAGTCAACGGAAGTCCACACTCTGCTATTGGTGAGATACAGGACCTCGCCCACACTCACCTCCCTACCAGGCACATACAAGTATCACACAGACAACAAGTATACTCTATCATGCAAACCATTCCTTGGGCACCCGCCCGACATTGGAGCTTGGTCCTGAATATCATGCTAGCAAACAGTGCCTAGGGCTAACCCCCGGGTCTTCCTACTCACAACTACATGGGCCGGCATTGTGGCCGTAGACCCATTCACACAAAGGGAAACTCACCTGCACTGCTGAACTTTACTGATAGCCCTCTGGCTGTTGTCCGACAACTCTCTAAACCGCTGCTCCACTAGCTCCCCGAGCTACTATTATCAATATAACACTTAGTTCCAAACTGAACTCTACAAGTCAAACTAAGTCAACTCTGGTTAAAGTCAAAGTCCTGGTCAAAGTCAACCTTCCAGTTGACTCGACTCGCCGAGTCCTTAAACTCAGAAGCTCTCCAAATACGACCCAACTCGCCGAGTTACCCCAGGACTCGTCGAGTTCAACTATCTTTGAGTCCCATCCTGTCCAACTCACTGAGTCACCGCTCAACTCACTGATCTGTGTCTTAACCAGAAGAGGTTGGGGGTTCTGCGACCTGACTCGTCGAGTCCAAGAACAGACTAGCCGAGTCCTAGGCAATCTTCAACAGACTCGTCGAGTTGTTCTTCCAACTCGCCGAGCCCATGCACATATTCATACAACTCGTCGAGTACATCCATGTGACTCGCCGAGTCTCTCCAGTTCTCAATCCATACAGTGGCTTTTCAAGCCATGTAGGGGCTCCAATCCATAGATCCACTCTTCTACAGTCTATCCCCTATGTAAAGTTGCAAACTTTACGTGAAAGCAAGGAGCTAAAGGCCCAAAACACTCTAGGGCTAGGGTTTAAGGCAAAGGGGCTTCACCAATAACTTATTGACATAAACTTTATGACCTTTTGGACCATCACAAGTCCAGATCTGAGGTAGCAACCTCAGATCTAGGCCTCTAACTCGACATAGATCTCAATCATGCCCAAAATGCCCCAAATCTCAAACATAAGATAGATCTATTTGCAATAAAGCCAAAGCGACAGCTTATTACCTCCAATATATGCTCCAACTGAAATAGATCCCAGATCTACACCACTCCTTTGCAGCAAGCCTCTAGATCTTCAAGCCCCTTTCCACCAAAATCACTTATCTAGGTTCTAAATTGCTTCCAAGGGCTCTCACTCACGATTTAGGGTTTCTGGATCTCAAAAGGGGAGTAAAGAGGCTGGGGAAGGGATGTAATGTTCTTTAAATAGGGCACAACCCCCGGGATTAGGGTTTTTCTCGCCCAGACCAGACTCGTCGAGTCCACTAGCCGACTCGCCGAGTCGGTCACTTACTCTATACCCCGGATCCCATTCCGACTCGTCGATCCCCCCCTGGACTCGACGAGTTGACTCATGACTTAGAGCTTTTCGTTTCTTTTCTTGGTCTTTCTGATTTCTGGGTGTTACAACTCTCCCCCACTTAAACTAGACTTCATCCTCGAAGTCTGCTACGACCAACTGTCCTGCAATCCGTTCATATTACCCTTGCCTGATGACTATAACTCCGGCCGACCACTCTCATGGAACTTCCGCCCGGTTACCCAGAATAAAACTAGTCCTTGTAGTTATCAATCCTCAAGTGCACTCAAATCCCGCCA